CGGTGCCGATATGTTGACGAAGACTGTGAGTAGAGAGAAGCTTCTGTTTTGTAGACAGGAAGCGGGTTTGGTTTTACCCCCCAATTGAGATGAAGGGGGAGATTGTTGGCCCGGTATTCCCCTCAATTGGGTCAACAAGGAAACAAATAAAACCGAAAAAAAAACCACTCCAATTGGGTTTTTGTTTTTAGGTTTTTTTTTCGCTCTATAAAAGCAAGGCTTTGGTATAATTATTAGGTGTATGTTTTCAGCCAAAAAGAGAAGAAAAGTTTGAGCAGCCGTGCATTGTTTTTGTACGAGAGAAAAAGAAAGAAAATTAGGGTTTAGTTTTCGGTTTAGCTCTCTTTTGGTTAGATCCTTCCAGTCCTACTTTGTGAAAGGTGTGTGTGGAAGAATATTGTTGTAATCCACCTTTGGGTGAAGTCCTGTGTATCCACCGGTTGGTGAAGACTGTTTTTCCATTATTGCGATAGTGGAGATTTGGCTGTTGTTACAGTCCCGTGGTTTTTTCCGATTTGGGTTTTCACGTAAATTCGTGGGCCTCCTTTATTTTATCAGTTGTTGAATTAGTTGCTTGGTTGATTGTTCTATTTTATTGGTAGTAGGAAAGGAGTTTTTCTTGGAGTTCGCTTCCGTGGTTTGTTGTGTTTATACCCTTTCCACCACAACACCTAGTTATTTTTACTGTTCCATGGTATATCAGGATAAACCACAAGCATCATTTTTATCTTCCAAAAATTAATAGTGATTATGTATCATAATTTTTTCAAAAGAAAAAGAAAAGCTTTTATATATTTTTTTCCCATTTGTCAATATTCAAATTTCAACCAGTTTTACTTGCTTGGTAATGAATTCTACGGTTAATTTATTGGTCCTTGCAACTTTTTCCACTGAGCACATGCAACTATGTACCTCGGTCCGTACTTAGTAGTAGTAATGACTAGTGAGTACTAAAACGACTGGTCATTAAGTCTCATACTAACCACCACAAGATGATACTATTTACTGCACCCTGCAAAAAATCAAAGTAGCAAAGTAATGGGATTTAGGAAATTCGCGAATAAAAAAATTCTTAAAAAACAGTTAGTGCATATACTAGACATCCAATGCAAATTACCTTACTGAGAACCTCATCATGTATTCTATAGCCTGGTAACCTTCATCACCACATTATGCTCTGTTTCACTTTTCCATCAACTTCTTCATAGCATACATTAAGTAATATGAATCCTTGAGGAATTCAACAGAGCACGAGTCTAAACTGTGGAAGCTTGTTTCAAATTACTGCACCAAAACTTGTTCTTATTTCACCTATAACTCGTCAAAACAACTAATGACTCCAGGAATATTTCGATTCAAGGATAAATCGAATGGAAAAATAAAAAGATAGTAAGCAAGAATATGGAAGAAGTGTTTTTGTATCGAATCCTATTAGAATGTGTCAATTAAATTCCCACCTCGCGATGGAAACACATCGATTTGTTTCAAGAGGACCACGAACTTAGCATCCAAGTTGAGAAATATCAAATCTCGAATAAGAGTAGCCGCGCAGTTTGCAAGAAACCAAATTTAAAGTCATGCACATCAAAAGTTAATCACCAATCATTAACACAAAAAGAACTTCACTCGTTCTTATCGATTCATCATCAAATTTATCAAATCACATATCTAAAAAATTCGGCCAACCCCAACCTATTTATAGGGATAAACGAGCCTTTATAAAACAAAGCCCAAATTCAAAGAAACCCTAATTAAATTTGCAAAAATATTAAAATAACTAAAATTTAAATCCTACTAGGAAAGCAATTAAAAAAGCTACTCTATTATAAGTAAAACTCTTGTAATTGGAAATTATCAAAAATAAGTAAAAATCTTGCAACAAAAATTACCTTCAACTTCGTTAAAGTGATTAGAGTTTTAGGGAGGCTTTAAACCCATAAATCCACATCATTTAGCCCTCAGTTCCATTTCTTTAGCCTCCCCATCTCATTCTTCTTTTCTTCTTTCGAATTTGCTCCAAAAAGAACACTATATAGATCCAAAGTATGAAAGCAAAATCTTGCTATGAAAGTGTTTCGTATGATAAAATATGCTAAATGATGAAACTATTCCATTTATGTATCACTCCATTGTCTTACTAGCTAGCATTCCTCTCTCGCTAGCTCTCAGCTAGAGCTATAAATTTCTTGCCTTGATATTCCACTTTACATTTTAGAACCCTTTGCTATGTAATTAGAAAAAATCATTGGTAGTAGGAATCCTTTTTTTAGATCGGGGAAAACAGGTTTGCACAACAGTGTTTCAGGAACACTTGAAAAATGAATGGAAAACTGGAGACCCGAGAAAATTATGGAGCTTCTAACAGACATGCGAACTCTTGGTCCCTTAACCGTTAAAGGCTCACAGTAGAAAGGTTTAAAAGGAAAGTTAGGTAGCAAGTGAAGTGGGCAAAGATAATCAAAGAGAGAAAATTCAATTCTCACGATATATGATTTTGTGAGGAAAGGAAATTTACCCACTAATAAATTTTAAATCTTCCTCATAATTTTATATCTATAGCACAATCTATTATTTTATTTATATTTTTTGCCTCCCTAAAAAATAAAACCGCCAATCAAGTCATATTCGGGTGCTTCAACCAAAAAAATTTCTAAAAAAAGATGTGGACAAAAACAAAGTTTTTTTTTTAATTTTTGGTGGACAAAACTAGTTGTCTTGGATTTGCCAAATTCGAATCTATCCATTTTATACTAGATTCGGATTTGACAAATCCCAATCTACCCATAGAATTGATTCATCACATAGTTGTAATATAAGGAGATTTGGATTTGCCAAATCCGAATCTAGTACAAAATGGATAGATTTGGATTTGGCAAATTCGAGACAACTAGATTTGTTCACACCACTCCAAGACATATATTTTTGTTCAGGTCCTTCCATTAAAAATTATTTGGGTTAAAAACTCAGTCATATTCACCGTCTCGAAAGACATAAATAAATAAAAAACAAAATATTCAACTTGTTTGAATCCATGACAATCAACAGCTGCTTGGTCGACTATGGGAATTGGAAACTACACATGTATTTTGAGGGGTGAATTTTGTTTCAGAATTTTTTAACTTCTCTTCAACGTTTAGTCTAAGTGGGTTACATTCGATTCAACTTTCTTTTCTGGTACATCGACATTATCTTCAAAATTTGTTAGAATATTATATGCAACTGACTTAGCGCCCCCATTGTATGGGATTTTAATGTCTTGGGCTAGCTCTGCTTTTTCCAATCTACCAAAAGGTTAAAAAATGACATGCCATTTGTTTCAAAACAATTCTCCTATTTTTATTTTAATACAAAAGTCAGACATTTTTCCATGACGTGAGAATAAAATAATGACTAAAATAAATTGGTCAATGTTGTACATCTCAACGAGTTGCTAATGATTCATTGGCTTCACCATGGCGTGCCAGCCTTTCTTTTGTTTCATACATTACGAGCCTTCACCACCACCACCACTTTCTTTATTTCTCCCAATGCCGTCTTGTCATTTTTATCCTCCCCTTTTTTTGGGGAAAAAAAAAGTGACGCGATGAACTGAAATAGTTGGAAACAGAATAGAACAGTTGAAGGAGGGAGAAAGCAAGACTCTTTCAGCCTTCCTCGTACGTCAATTCGAGTATTAATTGGACATCCTTCCAAACCATCGTTGAAGCGGAAGACGTTTGGAAACGATTGACCATTAACTACACATGCGAAGCCTTTATTTGGTTTAATCGGATCTTCCTTTAATTTGTTTAATCGGATCTTCTTCTGCAGCGGGGGACTGTACTTCGTATGATGGAAATTGGGAAATATCCCAATAAATAAAGTAAGATAGTTTTTTTTTTTCCTTTTCTGAAAAAAAAAAAGAGAGTTGACGGATGTGATTTCGGTCAATGATATATAATTTTAAAAGTTATCTTCTTAAAGATCATTTTCGGATCCATTAGTTTGAATTAATAAGGTGGAGGTTTGTTGTAGAGAGCAAATTAACCTGTTTTAAATTCGTTGTAATAATTTTGGGACGGAGGGAATAATAAGTTTTGTTGCGATTCCAAACTAGAGAACTGGTACTATTTAGTGCCATGCATATGTAAACAATAAGCAGTTTCTAGGTTGTATACAGTGGCGGATCCAATACAACCTTTTAGGACTTGGAAACTTGCTTGGTTCCTTAATAATAATGAAGCGCCCTCCGAAGAGCCTACAACATGCAGCTAGGTTTTATAATTTGTGTGTAATTTCCTTATTCCAATTTTAATAGGAATAAGAATAAGAAACTCCGTCCCCTATTTAGTTAATTATGATGAGGAATGTATAATTTTCTTAACCTGTTATGGTTTTGTTTGCTTGGTTCCTAAATCCAATTCTTTTTCTTAAGCTGTTATGGGTTTGTTTGCATGGTTCCTATTAGTCATAGCATATCGTCTGCTGTAGTAGGTAGTACATCAAAGTTTGTCGTGGTAGACGTAATTTGATCTCGAATACTTAATGTATAATTACTGTCAGATTGGTAGCTAACACACATAAGAGTTGTATTGTCTCCTAGTAGTTTATACGGTTTTAAATTGTCAAAAAACTTTAAAAAAAAAGAAGAAAAAAGAAAAAAGAAAAAATAAAAAGGAAAAGAAGTATTAAACAAGAACAACGCCAATACTAGTACTCCCTCGTCAATATAAGCATTTTGATTTGTTCTAACTTTCACCTACTATGTATTTTAATCGAAAACAAAATCTTAAAAATATATTTTTACATTTATTATGTTTTCTTGATTGTTAAGAAATATTTTTAAAGTTATTTTGTCAATTAAAAATGTGTATTATGTAAAATCTAAAACAAATTAAAAATTAAGGACCAGGGGGAGTATATTTGTAAGAGACGTCGCTGCTGGACGACTTTCACTGGTGAATTGTCATGGAGTTGACTTACATCAAGAACAATACAGTTTGTAGAGCTTGAATCATAATTCTTTGAACATAACCAAACTAAACAAATGGACCTCCGTTTCCCTTCTTTATCTAAAGACCTAGTCATGTCACTCGGGGAAATTCACTGCGCAGCATTCATCGCAGTTATAAACACCCCCACAAGCGGCGGTATAAGGGCATTGCGCACAACGAGGGCAACATTGTACTCGGCAGAAATCCGAATCCAGGCAGCCCGACTGCGGGCAAGGAATGCAATATATCTGTAACATTTTCCTAAATCCTCCAGCTCTGACGATGGACGTTGGCGGCAACATTTTGCTGTATCCATCCGAAGAATTCATGTTAGTAGACGTGTTTGCAAACGGGCGGAAGACAACTGATGAATCTTCGAGCTCAAGGGAAAAGCCGCCTATCCAAAGTTGAGCGAAAACCAAGTAGAATGAGATGATTATAACGGGAATGATCTTAGTAGTCTTGGCCATTTTGATGCAAATTTTGAGTGGGAGTTTCCGGAGTAAAAATTATGGAGAGCTGGTCCAGGTACTTCTATATATAGGGTATCAGGTACCTTACCTCTTACAGATTTACGCTACTCATTTTCTCCTTTATAATAAAGTCTAACTTCGTTGTATCTTTATTAGCTTTTTGTTGTATTTAAGGATCATTATCAAGAAAAATTAAACAAAAATCAGTAGCGAATTTATATAAGCCGTCCTATTTAGTAGCTAAAAATTAAAATAGTCCGAAATGAGAATGGCAAAGTCGGCAAACGATTCCTTTCGTGTCGTTTGGCTTTTGTATTTTTGTTGTTATTTTCTTGTGATCTAGTTCGGACATTTTAAGCTCTCTTACTTTTGTACTGTTGTCCATATTAAGGATCAAGCAGGTTTCTTTTAAAAACAAAAAAGAAATAAAATAAAAATAAAAATCAAAGAATTGGACTCTTATATATGTGACGACGTGTCTTCAAAAAGAATTGGATTTACACATTACATATTTGGTAATTAGAAGGCGTGAATACTAGCTAATAATATAGGACGGCTTACTTAACAATGCATTCCCAGAGCCTGATGTTCAGAGAGCTATCCTCACGGTTTTCATTTTAGTTTAACTGCGGACGAACAAATTGAAAAAGATGATAACAATCCAAAACTAGTGAATACAATCTTCATATTTTTCATCTAGATAACGGGCCCAATGACGCTAAAGTCCGCGAAGCTTGGGGTTTTTTTTTAAGTTGACTTTGACATCAAAATAATGAATCTATCGCTTTTTGGAGATTTTTAATCCCCACTACACATAAAATGTTAAGTTTACTCACTCAATACACACACAACAGAATAAAAATAAACAATGAAACATGCACAACAAGAAGCAGAACACAACATTACGTGGTTTGATGTTTCATATATATATATATATATATCTACATTTATGAAATGGTAACATATCCACTAATACAAAAATAAAAGAGTTTTATATGTGTAAACCCTTTCTCTATACACTATGCTTCTCTGCCTCAATTCTAATTTTATTATCTCACAAAGTATTTTTTGTACTCACCTCACCATGTACAGATCTTGTCAGAAAATCACGAACTTTCTTAAATATATTTTGAGCCAAGTCATGTTTGAAATGGAGATAAACTGGTTTGTACATGAGAAGTTTAGATTTGAAAAATTAGCATGGCAAAAATTAAAAAAAAAAAAAAAAAGAAAAGAGGAGGACATCATAAGTTCACAGTTTTGTTCAAATTGCTCTAGGCAAGTTCTATTACGAGGTTCTTATATATATAAAATCATGTTCTTTAATTAAAAAATAGACTTCAAACGCGACTTAGTAATTGAGATAGATGAATTAGATATTCTTGCCCACCCGGATATTTCTAATCCCCCAGTCTCATCGAAACTGCATTCTAAAATCTCAACGCGGCAACCAATCTCTTTGAACAAAAAATTATAAATCTCACAGCTATCCGTTTGGCAGAAAAGTACAAAATTACTCCATACGGTTCTTATTATAATATGGAAATTAAATGAAGGAAACTGTAAAAAAAAATAATCAACATGAAAAACTACATTTGATTAACAAGGACGATGATCATCTAGTGAAATTATCGAAGACCCCCCATTTTAACCGTGCCTGGAAAATCTTGTTTTGATCCAAACTTACAATTTATTACTATCTGCTGTGTCCAATTATTTGAATTTATGAACGTTTACAGTTATTACTTTAACTCAAGATCTCCTTAATGATAGAAAGTCCAGTTTTGATCTAAAACTTACACTTTATAATGGCGACAGTATCAATTTTGTTAGTTCATTGGCAACTAGGTTGGACTCACCGTGAACTAGCAATTACGAGGCCGGCCTTAATGCACTCCCTCTTTCTTAAACTGATTATTCAATTGGATTTTAAGTTTTAATATAATTTAAATTAAAAATAAAAAATAAAACTGAACCATTATTTTGAGACGAGGGCTAAATTACTTTAAGACAATTGTAAGGGTGATTTGGTTAGTGTAAAAGAAGGGACCCGTTCTCCTATTAATCTATTCATTCATATCAATCAATTTTTGACGACTTCTTGGTACTGCGACCTGGCCTGCACCTTGCACCTCTTTTAATTCTAGCAAATATTTATTAAAATCTCGCAACAACAACCTCAATTACTGATGCCTTGTACAAAAATTAATTGGTCTTTTAATTTTGAACTGGAACAATTATCCTAGTTGCTACTCACTCCTCATCTTTTCATTTAGTCTCGTTTATAGTTCTAAAATAATTAATAAAGAATAAAATAGACATTTAATACACAAATTAATTGTTGAATAATTGATTTCTTAATTATGTGTAATATTTAAAGTGACCTATAAAAACAAATGAAGGGAGCATGTGTGCTTATCCTTTGATAATTCTACCTCTCGTACTACTTTTCCTTTTGAAATTGTATATTTTGATGTTTGGTTTCCACCTGTTACTTCTCCTACTGGTTATAAGTATTTTGTGACCTTCTTTGATGATTTCACTCATTATTATTGGGTTTTTCCTTTTAGAAGTAAATATGATGTTTTCTCTTATTTCTCCACTTTTATGCTTATGTCAAAAACCAATTCAATGCTTCTATCCGCTGTTTCCAATGTGATCAAGGTGGTGAGTATGAAAATCTCTTGTTCTAGAATTTTGTTCAAACTCATGGCATACATCTTCGCTTGAGTACCACTACTTGTTCTCAGCAAAATAGTAAGGCTGAACGCCTTAACCGTACTATAGTTAATATGATTCGTATCTTACTTTTTCAAGCATCCATGTCCCCACTTTTTTGGGTTGAAACTCTCAACACTATCACCTATCTTCTTAGTCGAATCCCTACACCCCTCTTATCCCATCAATCTCCTTATGAAGTTCTTTACCATACATGACCGTCATATGACCATTTACGCACATTTGGTTGTGCCTGTTACCCTAACCTTTCTCATGCTGCTAAACACAAGTTAGAACCTCGTTCCACCTTATGTGTTTTTCTTGGGTATCCAAGTCATCACAAAGGATACCGATGTATTGATCTTGCTACTAACAAAGTCATCACATCTCGTCATGTTGTGTTTGATGAGAATACATTTCCCTTTGCTTCCGTTTGTTTTAATGTATCCCCATCATCCTCATTTACCTCTTTCTTTCGCTCACCGGGGCCTCTAGTTCCCTCTGCTCTGCTTCCAAGATCTTTCCCTCCTTCCTCTAGTTCTTGTGCTTGACCCATACCTTCTCCAACTACCATCACCAGTTACTACCCCTCCTCCATCTCTCTCTCTCTTATGCCCTATTTCGAGTCCTTCCCCTCTTCTGAGTCCTCCCATTACCATCGATTCACCTATTGCTTCACCTTCCCATATCCCTTACCCTATGGTCACTCGCACTCAAGATGGTACTCGAAAACCCAAGGTGATTTTTAATCTAGCTAGTTCTGTTACTAACCCTCCTTTGCAGGCACCTACTACATTCCGTGAAGCTATGAAGCATGATGAGTGGCAGCAAGCAATGAATGATGAAATTGCTGCCTTATCTCGGAATAACACCTGGTCTCTTGTTCCCAAACCTCCAGCAGTCAATGTAGTTGGTTCCAAATGGGTTTTTTGCATCAAAGAAAAGGCAGATTGCTCTTTGGATCGTTACAAAGCAAGACTTGTAGCTCAGGGGTACTCTCTGCGGCCATGTGTTGATGTTGGTGATACTTATAGACCAGTGGTTCGTCAGGCCACTATTCGCACAGTCTTGTCTTTGGCTCTATCTCGCAACTAATCCATTCATCAACTCGATGTGAAGAATGCTTTTCTTAATGGTCTCTTGAATGAATCTGTTTATATGAAACAACCTCCAGGGTTTGTTCATCATCAACATCCTGACTATGTTAACAAGCTCAATGGTGTTCTCTATGGCCTTAAGCAAGCCCCTCGATTTTGGTTTCAGAGGTTTGCTTCCTTCATTGCTACTTGTGGTTTTCGATTGCACGTCAGACTCATCTATGTTTGTTTACCAACATGATCGTGACATGGCTGTTCTTCTCTACTATGTTGATTGCATTCTTCTCACTGGTTCCTCTGCATCCCTGTTGAATTCTATCCTTGCTCAGTTACGCAAAGAATTTGCTATGACGGATCTGGGTGACTTACATTATTTTCTTGGTATTTCTGTTTCACGTACCCCTGATGGTCTCTTTTTGTCTTAGTCCAAGTACATTTCTGGTCTTCTTGATCGTTGTCATCTTACTAATGCTAATCCAGTTACTACTGCTGTTGATACTAAAGCTAAATTGTCTCAGCGTGATGGGGAGTTGTATGATGATCCATATGAGTATCGCAGTCTCGTGGGAGCCATTCAGTATGTTACATTCACTCGCCCTATATTTCTTATGTGGTGCAGTAAGTTTTTTTGTTTATGCATCAACCTCGCAATCTCATTACAAAGCACGGAAGCGTATTCTACGTTATTTGAAGGGGACAGTTCATCATGGTCTTTGTCTTCGATCTGCCCCGCTTGATAAGTTAATGGCATATTCTGATGCTGACAGGACTGGTTGTCCTAATACCCGCCACTCGACGTCTGGGTATTGTGTATTTTTGGGTCCTAATCTTATCTCTTGGTCTTCCAAGACGCAACCTATTGTTTATCGCTCCAGTGCTGAAGTTGAATATCGAGCGGTTGATAATGCTATTTCTGAAGTTTGTTGGCTACACTCGCTACTATCTGAGCTTTGTATCCAGCTACCTACTTCCACCATTGTCTTCTGTGATAATGTTAGTGTCATCTTCTTATCTACAAATCCATTTCAGAATCAGCGTACCAAGCATGTCGAGATTGATATCCTTTTCGTTCGTGAGAAGGTTGCTCAAGGGTCTATTCGAGTTCTTCGTGTTCCTTCTTCTCACCAATTTGCTGATATAATGACTAAGGGTCTGCCTCATGTTCTATTTATGGATTTTCAAGACAATCTGAACATTCGTGTATCTCCCATTCCAATTGCAGGGGAATGTTAGTGTATATGTGTATTGGGGTTAGGGGTATCACTGTAAACTCATATGTATTGTACTCTA